CAGTGCGATTGGCACAGGACAGAGTGGAGTTTAGGGCTGTTGTACATAGGGTCGCTATGAGTCGCAAGCGACTCGACGGCACATAACAACAACAACTAATTCCCTAGATTGTATAGGCAGTGTCTTTGACTTTTTCCTTCCTGGTTTCCTAGCTCACTGTTGCCATCTCTGCTAGAATCTTCTTGTCTCGGTATTTTCCAGACCAGTTGCCACATTGTATCAAGGATACAATTATTTGTAAATAATTAGTATACTTGAATAGTTTTAACAGAAAAGCTAATCCGTAACTGATTTTTTAAAAGCATATATACGTTTTGTTGATTTTATAATACTGTTTTGGGCGCAGGTAAAATTGCTCTGATCGTGGGCTCTCCTGTTTTCCACCTTTCTTTTCCTCTTTACCCAGTATGCGAAATGGAAACTACTTCTCCGCTCTGACTATTGTGGGATATCCCCCAGACAGGTAAAGAAAAGGAAGAGGTTTTCTGGAAGAGCTGGAAATTTGATGAGCCTTGAGGAATGGATGGAATTTGAGAGAAGGGGAGCGGACACTCAGGCATGAGGGATAATAACATCCGCACTGTGCCACTGAGAATGCACTGCTTCCTTGCAGAGCTTGAAAGGGCTTTGCTGTCAGAACCCGCAAGGATGTTTCACTGAAAGGCTGGGTGAGCCAGGGCAGTCTGGGCTGAGAGAGGTCTGGAGAACTCCTTTGTGAGAAAATGTGGCTGAGCTCAATGTGAAGGTGGAAGACATGTCCCTCTGGAGAGGAATGAAGGGAGCACTCTTGCTGTGAGGAAGCCGCCTGGGTTTGGACAGTGGGTCAGGCACTCAGCTGCTCTGCTCGCCAGATGTCCCTGGAAGAAAGAAGGGACACTCTCCGTTCATAAAGATTTACAGCCTTGGAAACTATGGAGCCATTCACCTCTGCTCTAATTGAGTTGGTTTCCACGTGAAGACAGTGAGTTTGTGGTTTTGGTCTCCTCATACTGGAGGAATGACCCCCTACACCTCCTTCCAACATGTTTGGGGCGTACTGGAAGTGGTGCCACTTTCAGGACAATAGTTGGTTAATTTGTTTATTCAGTCAGTCAGCAAATACTCAGGGAGGGCCTGCCATTGATGCTGTTGACTGTGTGGTACAGTCCTGTCCCCTGAGGGTGTGATGTCAGCCCTTGGGGTCAGGTTTTTATCTTTCCTACGAGGAGCCCTGCTGGCACAGTGGTTAAATGCTCATTTGCTAACAGAATGATTGGCAGCTGGAATCCACCAGCCGCTCCGGGAGCAGTTGGCTTCCCTGAGCATTTCGGCCTTGGGAGTCCTGGGGGGCAGTTCTACTCTGTTCTTGGGTCACTGAATTGGATTGAAATCAGCTTGGCAGCATTGGGTCTAGTTTTGTTCGGTATGTTTAATTTTCACTCCATTTGCCTAGTTGTTGCTGAGACTGTACACAGAAAAATTCAGTAGTTTCTACAAGTACACATCACCGACACTGATTATATTTGAATTCTGTGGCCATTCTCACCCATCTTTTCTGAGTTATCTCTCCCTTTGTTAACAAGTCTTTCTTGTTGTCAACTTGATCCCTTGTTAATGTAAAGGGCCATCAAGTCAGCTCTGACTCATCGAGACCTTGTGCTCAACAGAGGAAGCCCTGTCTAATCTTGCACTGTCCTCACAGTGTCTGCAATCCCATATGTTGTTCATGCTGTTGTTAAGTCCATTGAGTCAAGTATAACTCATAGCGACTTTATGAGTGACGCATCTGAACCCTGTGCTATCCTGGGCCATCCTCATCCTCTCCAACACACTTGAGCCCATTGCTGCAGTCACTGGGTTAATTCATCTTGTTAAGGGTCTTCCTCTCCTTCATTGACCCTCTACCTTCCCAAGCATGTTGTCTCTTTCCAAGGAATAGCCACTCCTAGCAAGGTGCTGAAAGTATGCGAGACAGTTTTTCCATCCTTGCTTCTAAGGAGCACTCTGGCTACATTTTTCCCTGAGACATTTTTTTTTTTTTGGAAGTTCATGGGATATTCAGTACTCTTCTTGAACACCACAGCTCAAATACTTCTTCTGTCATCCTTATTCATTGTCCAGCTCTTAGGTGCATAGCACATGAGTGAAAAGACCATGACCTGAGTCAGGCGCATGTTAGTGTTCAAACTGGTGTTACTGATCCTCAGTAATTTGGAGAGGTCCTCAAGAGCAGCCTTGTCCAGTGCAGTACATGCCCTCATCTCCTGACAGCTGGTACCAAGTGTGAATTCAAGTAAGATGAAATCGTTGACAATTTTGGTCCCTTCTCCATCTGTCATGATAGTGCCCATTTGGTGAGGATTTTTGTCTTCTTGATGTTGAGATGCAATCTGTACTGAAGACTATAGTCTTTTTAAGTGTTTCAGGTCCTCATTTTCAGCAAGCAAGATTGTGTTACCTGTAGAACACAGGTTGTTGATGAGTTTTCCTCTGATCCTGTTGCCACATTCTTCTTCATAGAGTCCAGCTTCTTGAATGATTTGCTCAGCACACAGATTGTATAGGTATGGAGAGAGAGGATACAATCCTGACACACACCTTTTCTGATTTTAAACCATACAGTATTCACTTGCTCTGTTCAGATGACAGCGATCCCATGCAGATAATTCTTAAAAGCGCGTGTGCTCAAGGCAAACATTTTTTCTTATGTTTCTTTTTATCATCCACTGTTTGATTTTATTTTTATTTCCTTGACAGATAAAGCCACAGACCCCAGCATGTCAGAACAGGACTGGCCTGCTATCCAGACTTTCTGTGAGCAGGTGAACACTGATCCCAGTGGGTAAGAGAACTTTCATAAATGTGCTTGCATGCCTTGGTCTCCAGACAATTTATTTTCCCACAACTTCTTCAGCACATTACTTTATTCTCAAAATAACAAATTTGTGGCATTAAAAACAAATAAACAAACCCAACAACAAACAAGATGAGAAAAGCCAGAATTGTCCTTTTGCAACTGGCAATTGTTAAAAAAAAATTAAGAGATATTGCAGTCCTCCATTGCCTGCCTGGTACCAGTATTTATTTATTTAAAGGTAATCTCCTTATGTAACACAAATCAGAGAATAAGCTTTTGTTGAATTGTCAATTTCCAGAGTAAAGTCAGTCATCAAGTTATTTGACCTACATTGTTGTTGTTTGCTATCAAATTGGAACTGACCCATAGCTGACCCTCCAGTGGGTTTTCAGAGGCAGTTAATTGCCTGGGAGGAGGCTGCATATTTTTCTCCCTCAGAGCAGCTGGTGGTTTCGAACCACAAGCCTTTGGGATTGCCATGCAACTTCTCTACATAGTGCTGAATAGTCCTCTGTTTTGAAATAAGCCCAAACTGACCCCAGTTTCTAGTTAAATACATACTGGTCATTTATCATAAGACACATAGATCTGTGTGTTCTTTAGGTTCTGGCACGTGGGGGCTAAGGCCTAACCATCCAGTGTGGAGTTTTAGGGTTTGATTGGCTTCATTGGCTGAAGGGAGGGTGTTGTACCCTGGAAGAAGGCAGCAGACTGGACCATTGAGCTGTGGGTTCAGAGAAGAGGAGGGTTGGGTGCTGGGCCCCTTCAGAAGCCCACGTGAAAGATGTAACTTTACTGAGTTGGTGTTTCCTGTCAGCTCAGCATCCAGGCTTCTGTTTTCTCTTAGCCCAACCTACGCACCCTGGCTGCTTGCCCACAAGATCCAGTCTCCACAAGAGAAGGAAGCTCTCTATGCTCTCACGGTGAGTGCGACCTGCCTTTGGCTACTGCCTGCCTGTCCTGACGCTGGAGGGCTTGCCCAGAGGAACTGCTGCTGCTTGATCCCCTTTCATGTCCTCTGGCCCTGAGAACGGCAGCCTGAGGGAGTCTTCGGTGCAGACTGTGCCCTCTCAGATCTGCTTCTGGAGAGCAGCCCTGAGGCCCCTGTGGGTGAAGGACAGGATGGTTTTATTTCCCTTCCCTTTTCAGGCCAGTCTGGCAAGTCTAAGTGCACACACAAGCCAGCATGGTAACTTAACTGATTGAAGCAGCTGGCTGAGACCCACTGAACCAGAGACACGTGCTGGTGTGTGCGCTGATGTGCACAGGACAGCTGTCCCCCAGGCGGCCGTGCCAGCTACCTGGGCTGATGCTGGGCATGAGTTTGGACCTCGTGTTGCTAGGAACTCCTTTATATGGATTCTCTGCACATTTTAAATGCTGATGGCTAATTTGAAAGTCTGAAAACCAAGTGTAGTCAAGGAAGTGTGTAGGGCCCGCAGATCACCTCTCACTTAGCCATTCTTGGATATTCTGCACCAGATAGCTGCTCTGGGGAAGGATTGGCTTCACTTGCCCAACTCCTTTAAGTGGAGTTACCTCACAACACACATACTTCACTCAGCTGTCTTCTGGCCCCACACCTGGCAGTTACAGTCAGGCTGAAGAGCCAACTGGTGGCATTTTTTCTTAATCTGAAAACATCACCTTGTCCCCCAAAGCTACAGAGTTGTCATAGGCTTATGAGAGCATTAGCCATGGTTCCCGTAAAGTCACCAGCACATGCTCATCAGCTTCTTGGGGAGCCCTGGGTCTCTGGCTGCTTCTTTTCATGGGGTTCTATGTCTACACAGGTGCTGGAGATGTGCGTGAACCACTGTGGAGAGAAGTTCCACAACGAGGTGGCCAAGTTCCGCTTCCTGAATGAGCTGATCAAAGTGTTGTCCCCAAAGGTGAGCACCTCCAAGACCAGGCTGTCCCCTGTCCTCCACCTGCCCCCACCTTTCTCAGCTAGAGGCGGGGCTGCTCAGCTGCAGAACCTGCCTATTTGTCTCAGGCCTGCTAGGTCTCAGAGGCTCTAGACCTTAGTTACCCTCACTTGCCCTTGGACACTGCCCTTCTCTTATTCTTTCTTGTGGAGGGGTCATCGGGCTTCGAGGCACAGATTTCCTGGTGCAGATAGCAAGAGGAAGTTGCTTAACTTTACTTCTCATGTCAATTCTTGCCTCCTTCTCCACCTTCCCTCCTGGCACTTGTCTTGAAATGTCCACCTTCATTCTCTGGTAACTAACTCTGGTGGAGCACTTCACTCTCCTTAGTCAGAAGGTAGATGTCCCCAGTGGCCTAGACAGAGCACCATCAGAGGCACCTGTGTGATGAGAGTCACACTGTAGCAGTTTTGGAAATTGACCCCTTGAAATCAAGAAGGAATCCTGGGCCTGGGAGGTTCTTAGCTTTAGACCTTACCTTATTCCTTGGTTTTTAATTAGATGTGGGTCTCAGTCCTTTGGAGCCTCAGCCACCATATCTTCATTGGATGGACTGTCTAGATTTTACCTTAAGTCCAGTCTAGCTCTGTAATTCTCTCCTTTTTTTCCCCTCCCCAGTACTTAGGGTCTTGGACTACAGAAAAAGTTAAAGCAAGAGTCATTGAAGTGCTCTTTAGTTGGATGGTCTGGTTCCCAGAAGATATCAAGATCAGAGATGCGTATCAGATGCTGAAGAAACAAGGTCTGGCTCTGTTCTTATGATACATTCCCTTTTTGCCTCCTTCTCAGAATGTTGTTTTCTTTTTATGCCTTGAATTTTTTTTTTTTTTGAGAGTGGGACATCTTGTATAGGACAGGGGAACAGAGGGAAATGGTTTTTGTTCTTGAAAATAGGCATACATTTCCTTGTGCTGGACTCTGAGTCTGGGAGATTGAGACAGTCTAGTCAGAAGTTTGGGTTTGAGGTTTGGCATTCGCAGTCACTCTCGGGATGCTGTTGCTGTCATTTGCCACAGTGTCGGCTCGTATGTATGGTCGCTGTAGGCAGGGAACAAAGTGTTGCCTGTTCCTGCACCGTCTTTATGCCAGCTGGTGTGTTTCAGGCTGTCGTGCAGTCTTCGGCCTAGGAACTTCACTGCTAGCATTATATTGAACAATGTTCTCTCTTGATCCGGAACATTTTTATTGACTGGCTTTTGGAAAGAGATCACCTCACCTTTCTTCGTCTAACAGCTCTGCTGATCTGTCTGCTGTGGGTGACCGTCTGGGGTTTAAATGCCAGTGTCATAGCTTCCAGCATCAGAGCCACCGCAGTAAGCTCCCTGCTGGCTAATAGCGCCCAGTGCTCCAGGCTTCAGGTCCTCTCGTGTTACCTTGTGCCGGAGGGTTTGCCTCAAGCCTGCTGCACCCTCAGCTTTAGGACTTCGTTTCTTCCGGGAGAGCGTTGAGAACATGCTCTTGCTTCCTCCGAGCAGTAGACTACCGTATTGTTACTCGGCACTGGTTTGCCCGGTTGAGGTGGAGTTGTGTGGTTTAATTATCTGTTCAGATTATCAACCTCAGTCTTAGGCCTTGTTACAGGGTCTTGAGGATTGAGCTGAATGTTCACTGAGCCTTCTTTATCCCTAAATGTAGTTTGGAGCTGAAGACCTAACCTATTTCTTCTTTGGACCAGTGTCCTCCCTTCCATTTTCTTTTCCCTATGACTGAATTGAGTTTTCCATGGTGCTCTAAGGGCAGTCAAAGGTGTGGAAAGACTAGACTGCTAAGCAGTCAAACCCACCAACTGCTCTGTAGGAGGGAGATGACACAATCAGTTCCCTTTAGGATTTACAGCTTCCGAAACCCAGTGGAGAGTCGTCATAATTGGAATGAACAGCAGTGAGTTAGTGGGTTTTCCAAGTCACAGAGTGCTCTGTCCTTCCTGCAGTGGTGTCGACTTTCTGTTCTGTAGAGTGACTCAGCTCATCGCTGTTGAGAAAGAAGTGACTTACAGCTGACCCTCCAGGGGTTTTTCAGAGGCTGTAAGTTGCACCAGGGGAGATCTCCTGTTTTCCTCCCACCGATCTGTTGGATTTGAGCCACTCTGGAAGCATGGCCTTTGAGTTAGCAGTGCAGCTCCCTATGGACCGTGCCACCAGAGCGCCCTCTGTAGAGTGACAGAGGGTATGCATTAGGTGGAGCTTCAGGCCTTTACCGGCACTCCTCCGTGGTTGAAATCCATGCTTGGCAGGACAAAGCTGGGTCAGTCTGCTTTTGTAAAGATTTAAAGACGGGGCTGGCATCTGGGACCTTCTCTGTTCCACCGAGTCACCTTGAGCAGCGAGAGTTAGCTATGTGCCTGGACTCGGGCATCTGCTCCCTGTGAGCTCTTAGTGGGGCCTCCAGAGACGATGTTCCTCCTGGGTTTTGTGTTCCCTTGCTTGTTCACACCAGCCTGTTAGAAAATGTTAAAAATGGTTTGCACTGTTCTTCCTGGTGTTCGTTCTCCTTTCAAGCTGCCACATTGCCCTTCATTATATTTTAGGCTGGTTGATTGTTCAGCAGTCCCAGCGCTCTAATGGATTCTGATGGAAAAGATGTGAATGTGCAGGTTGTCCAGTGTGTGTGGTGGTGGGGTAGCAGTGATTTATGATTTTCTTATTTTCTGTGTCCTTTGTGGAAGCTGGGAGTCTGCACCCTCTTTGACTCGGGTTCTTTAGAAGGAAAAAAACGTGTCATATGTGCAACCTTAACATGTTTAGGGATTTCATATTACTATTACTTGATAGTAATGTCAGGGCCATGGGTCATGTGCATAAAATGTCAGTTTTGGTGTCTGGTTCTATTGTTGTGTACTTAGCCATTGCTGCCTTTTTGCTTTTTTTTCCATCCTGCCAGAAGACACCGCCCTCCCCCCCAAAGGCTCTAGCGTAGTTGTCTTTGTCCCTGGATTTTCCTGAGGAAATTACGCAGAACCTGGGTGATCTTGATCTTGGGTGCTAAGGTTGCTGACAGTGTTTTCTTAGTGAGATATCAGGACATGGGTTTTCCTGAAGTCGTGGGTGCGCATACCAGTAACTGTATGAATTTCTTGTTTTAGGAATCATAAAGCAAGACCCTAAGCTACCAGTGAACAAGATCTTGCCCCCACCTTCTCCCTGGCCCAAGAGTTCCATTTTTGATGCTGATGAAGAAAAATCAAAGGTGAGGAACTCTTCTCTGACCTTGCGATCACACCTGGGGTGTGATAAGACTTCTTGGAGACCTCCTCTTGATATGTCTCCCAGAAGGTCCTGTGATCTCACTTGAGTGTGGAGAGGGGGTCGCTGAGTTCTCTTCTGCAGAATGAGTTCTTGAGAGTGAGCAAGTGTGAGGCACCGGAGCGAATCCATCAGTTGCTCTGTGGGAGAAGGAGGGGCAGTCTCCTCCCGTGCGATTAGCTGCCTCTGAAAACCTGATGGGGATCAGCTGTGGGTCAGATCGGTTCTGACTCGACGGTACACAACAACAACAACATAGGAGCATGGGCTTTTGAGAAGAATCCTGTACCACTGCAAGCAAGCTCCCTGGACTGCTTTGTCCTCAGTGTCCCTGGCTTTCTGGCCATCTGTTAACAGTGGTTGATGGCTCTTGTGACTGACTGGCCTGGTGTCCAACTCGGCATTGGAAAGGAAATGACAGAAAGGTCGTACAGGCCTGTCACTTCAGAGAGTGAGCAGTCACATCTCAGCGTGCACGGTCTTCAGTAGTCTGTGGCCCCAGGCCATCCTCCCTGCTGACATTTGGGGCTAGAACATTCTGCGTTGTAGAGGGCCGTCCTATGCAATGTAGATTGTTTACTGCTTACCTGGCCGCTTCCCACTAGATGCCTCTAGCGCCCTGTCCCTCCCAGTGTAACAGCCAAAAATGTCTCCAGATCAAACTAAACCCACATTCGTCAGGTCAATTCGAACTCATAGCGACCTTGCAGGGTGGAGTGGCACTGCCCCGTCGGACTTCAGGGGTCGTACAGCCTGCCGCGTCTTTCTTCTGCAGGGTGGGGTCAAATTGCTGACCTTCTGCTTTGAAGCTGAGTGCTTAACCACTGCACCACCAGCTTTCTTTAAACGTTGCCAAATGTCCCTGGGGGTTATGGTCCTCTCCCCTACACATACACACACTTATACATGCTCTGCTTCTTCTACACACCCCAAATTGAAAACCGTTGGGGGCGGGGGGGCTAGTCACCCTCCCTACACCATGTGTCATTGTGAGGCTTGGTAAGGAAGGTGGGACTTTGTCTCATTTACTTTGGGCCTGTTTTCAGGAGGAACCAGTCCTTAGAGGCTCCATGCTAGGAAAGGTAGCCGGCTGGTCAGCAAAAGGGCGGAAGACCCTCACGGAGACTGATTGACACCGTGACTGTCCCAGTGGGCTTGTGCGTGACAAAGATCGTGAGGATAGGGCAGGGGTCAGCTCTGTCGCTCACAGTGTTGCTGTGAATTGTAGTCTGTGCGAGGGTCACAACATAAAACGTGTGGGCTGTTAATAGGATAAATTGTCCTGCTATTGTTGCTGCACTGGGGCACTTGGCACAGAGCGAAAACGGTTCTTGTTCTCTTCCCCCAGCTTCTGACACGGCTTCTGAAGAGCAACCACCCTGAGGATCTTCAGGCTGCGAACCAGCTCATCAAGAATCTGGTCAAGGAGGTAGGTTCTCCCTAGTGGTCTGCAGGAGGGCCGAAGGACAGTGTCTCTGTGCTTGGGGGTGTGGAAGATGGTGGCCAGCAGGAGGCTCAGCTTAGAACTGGGGACCCAGAACTGATGGCTGGAAGCAAAAATCATAAGGCTGTACTGTGTAGATAAGTTTAGGAACCCAGGTGCAGGAATCTTTGTTTTTCAGAAGAAATCGAGGCTGATAGCACAGAGCAGCTTACCAGGTTCCATGATTTCCCCCAGAATTCCAAGCTCTGAGAGATCCCAGGCATTTCTGATCACTCTGTGCCTGTGACTTCCTGGAGCACTCAGCTGCCAGGGAAGAGATGTGCCTTTTCTCATCTTAGTCTGGCAATTCCTTTATCCAGGGCTTCTGCTTCCTTACTTCTGTCATCTTTCCTTTTAAAGGAGCAAGAAAAGGCAGAGAAGGTGTCCAAGAGGGTCAGCACAGTGGAGGAAGTCCGCAGCCATGTGACGGCCTTGCAGGAAATGCTGACCGCACACCAGGGGCCAGGCCAGAGCCCCCCGGACCAGGAAGCCCTGCAGGTAATCCAAGCCAAAGGGATGTGGCTGTGACAGACAGGCTCTCAGTGACACATACTTAGCCAGGGCATACTTTCATTGTGAACTGGAGGTGACCGAAGAGGCCCTGCTTCATGTCTGCCTAGCAGCGCCTTAGGCACTCTGGTCCCCAGTGCGTCATGTATGACACCCACCCCTTTTACCCAGGTCGTGTACGAAAGGTGTGAAAAGCTGCGGCCTACCCTGTTCCGGCTGGCGAGCGAAACCATGGACGATGATGACGCGCTGGGTAACGCTTTCAGAATTTCTCTAGGCTGAATAACACAGTTCAGGTTTCCCCCAGACATGCCTCTTCCTGCTGGACCACTGTGAGTTCACGACAGGGAATGGAACCGTAGCGTCCGTGGTGGTGGGCTTGGGAAGGGCGCGACCCCTGTGGCTTGGAGCTGATTTCCAGAAACCAAGGTTTGAGTGTGATGTCCGCAGCAGCTCTCAAAGCGGAAGCTGGGCTGGAGGCTCCCCAAGTAGGTTGGGTGGAGAAGAGGACGCACAAGGGGGCAGGTGGAGGAGCCAGCGTGGTGAGAGCCCGTGAAGGTGAGGCGGGTTCACTGGCTTCCGGTGACTGCAGGACCAGGAGATGACTACTGGCACCTGGTGGGCTCTGTTGTCTACAGACATTGAACAAAGCCTTTTAAAACTTTTATGCTGGGAAATCTCAAAACACGGAAAATGTAGAATGAAAGAAAAAAGTTCTTTGTGCTCTTCTCTGTACATATGTACTCTGCTGGTAAGAAACTGTCCTGCAGTCCTGAAGGCACACAGGTTCGGATCCACCAGCTGCTCCGCAAGAGAAGGATGGGCAGTCTCCTCCCTTGTGATTAAACTGCCTCTGAAAACCCACTGGAAAGTCAGCTCAGTGACTCACAACAACAGGAGCAAACAAGCCTCAACACACATCTGCCCAGTTACCGCCTCATGGCTAATCTGATCTTGTTTCATGTGTACCCCTCTCTTTTTTCCATCCAACCTTACCCTAAACCAGAAAGCCAGACCAGCGGCTATGAGGACTTTGTGTGGCTTTGAGTAGAATATGCTCATGGTTTCCCCATGGCCAGTGTTTTAGAAGTAGATGGGCAAACATTTCTTTCAAGAGGCCTCTATTACTGGTTCACGTTTCATTTAGCAACTAATCATAAAAACCATTCAGATAACCTGCGACTTCCCACCCATCTCCGCCTTGGTCTTTGAAACTCATTCCAAGTATTTTGCTTGATCATATACTCTTCTCAGCTTTCCAGTATCTCTGCTTCCTACTTTTACTCTCACTTGCCTTTTTATTGTTACAATTCTAGTCAGACAATAGAAAAGACACAAAGACACACTTTGGCACTGTCTCTTAAATACTTTCTCATTCCTAGATTTCCCTGCTTGTTAACCATTTGCATCCATGCAAAGGCTCGGGTTTGAGTGATAAGGTCAGTCACTGGGCCAGATTCTAGGTGCCGGTCTGAGGGATGAACACTGAACCTAGTAGAGCTCTGGGAAGGCTGCTGTGTGGGGTGACTTCCAAGACTGAGACAGTGGACGTACTAATCAGAGGCCTCCGGCTTTTCTTCCTCTGCAGTGGAGATCCTCCAGGCAAATGACCTCCTTACCCAGGGCGTTCTCCTGTACAAGCAGGTGATGGAGGGCCGTGTCACCTCCGGGAACCCCATGACCAGCCCAGTGGAAGACAAGCCGGTACCCAAAGGTATGTAGAAAGAAAGAACTTCTCCCTGCCTTCTGCTTGGGAGCAGTCTGTATAGCCTAGAAAAGAAATGCATCCTCAGAATACTCTGAGCACTTGCCTGTTTTTCCTTTTCTTATGAAAATGGGTCTGAAATAGCAAGCCGGTGCCACAGGTAACACTGCAAACTGATTGCCAAACTGGACACCAGCTTTCCTTAGAGATGGAAAGAGAAGGCTGTGTTGTACCTGGTTTGGATTCTTCTCAGGAGCGCTTACTGAGTGGGAACTGGAGACCAAAGAAATGGTCATCTTCACTGGTTCCCAGGTCCAGGCTTGTTGCTTCAGTTGTTCCAGGCACCTGGAGAATTGGTTAAAATGCCAAATGTTTTGCCCCTGGGAATCAGATCTGCTCAATGCGGACTTCTTGAGCTCTGAGGGTCTGCTTTGTATTGAGTATGCTCTAAAGGCCTCTGAGCTGGAGAAAGTCAGCTTTGCTGTGGTCCAGGCTGCCTGGGTCCCTGGGAGAAGGAATGCAGCCTTCTGGTTGCCACATAGGTGGGAACAGAGCCCTCTGCCAAGCTGGTAGTCCAAATACCAGTTCAGGCTGAATCCTGAGTGGGGCGAGACCTGAGGCCATTGGGCAGGTTTTAGGTGGAGACTTTGTTCTTATGTCTAGCTGACTGATTCTCCCGACTCTGGTTTCTAGACTCTCAGAATCCAGCAAGCTGCCCCTTGATTGACTTGGAGGGATCTGATCATGCTGAGACTCTGGTGCCGTCTTTACTTCATCAGGACCTGGCAGCCTTAGGTGAGTGTGGGCACTTAGGACTCGCAGGCACGGGAGGGCCTGAGTAGGCAGCAAAGGTAAACTGGTTCCCTTTGGTCAGAAGATGCTTGCTCCTGAGGAATCAGATGTCCTTGGCGGTGTAGTGAGGCCCACTCTGCTCTGTGGTCTCAGTTTTGCCCAAGATAGGTTGAATGACTGGTAAGTTACATTATCTGTCTAGGCTTTATTGTTGTTATACCGTAGAGTCAGAATGGACGCCTCGCTGACCCTCCAGCAGGGTTTTCCAAGGCTTTTAATTGCACAGGAGGAGACTGCCCATCCTTCTCCTGCAGAACAGCTGGTGGCCTTGAACTGTGTGCCTTTGGGATCGCAGCACAGCTTCCTGTCACTAGGCCACCAGAGCTCCCTAGCCTTTAGTATTGTAAATACTGTTATCTCTTCTACAAGGGGCAGTCATAGTGTTTATCTTCATCTTGTGGCCAGTATAGAGTTATTATTGTTTATTTTTTTATATTACTCATTTCACTGTGCTCATTTTTTGCAGGGATCAATGATTCCCCGGATACAAACAAGGTAAGGCAGCTATTCTAGTTGGTTCTGACTCCTAGCCACGCTGTGTACAACATGGTAAACCCTGCCCAGTTCTGAACCAGTTTTGCTATGTTTGAGCCAGTGCTTTGAACCAATACAGTCATAGCCAACAAAAGCAAAATCAGAACAGACCCACACTTTAAAAATTTGGATGAAATGAAACAGCTAGAATGGGGAAAATGACAAGTCAAAGACCTGATATGGAAAAGCACAGGAGAAGCATAGTAAGCCCTTTCGGGAGGCTGATGGTTATTGCCAGGACTGTGAAGCAGGACACACTCAGAATGGAACAGTTGGCTGCCATCTTTGAGCAGGGCACCACTGTTTCTGATTGTGCTGGTCCAGAGATTTAGTCACTACAAGGAGCATACTGCCCTGTTCTTTTAAGAGGGAGGGTAACTTGTGATTTTTCACATTCTGGTTGTTACCTTATTAACCCACACTTTCTAAGTTCTGGTCCTTTCTGGTTTCACTTTGTTAGCCATGACTGAATCAAGAACTGTTTCAAAGCAGCCCCTGACTATGTCAGACCATCTCGTTGAGGGTCTTCTTTTTCACTGATCCTCTCCTTAAACCAGCATGAAGTCCTTCTTCTCCAGGGACTGGTCTCTCTCAGTAACATGTTCAAAGGACATGAAAGAAAGTCTTGTCATCCCTGCAGAGCTTTCTGGTTGTACTTTCAAGACAGAGTTGTTTATTCTAGCAGTCCATGGTATTTTCAATTTTCCTTGCCAACACCATAATTCAGATGCATTAATTCTTCTTTGATCATCCTTATTTGTTGTCTAGTTTTTGTTTGTTTATGAGATAATAAAAAAACCCTTGGCTTCTGCCAGGTGCACTTTAGTCCCTAAGGTGACAGCTTTGTTGTTGTTATGTGCCGTCGAGTCGCTTGTGACTCGTAGCGACCCTATGTACAACCGCCCTAAACCCTGCTCTATCCTGTACCAATCACTCTGCCTCTGATATACCCATTCCAATTACCCCAGTCACTGAATCAATTCACCTCATAGAGGGTCTTCCCCTCCTACGCCATCCCTCCACCTCCCAAGCATGATGTCCCTCTCCAAGGACCTGTCCCTCCTTACAACATGTCCAAAGTACATTAGACGAAGCCCCAGAATCCTTGCCTCCAAGGAGCTGCCCAATTTAACCCTCTCCAGGATGAATCTGTTTATTTTCTTGGCAGTGCACGATACTCTCAATACTCTTCTCCAGCACCACAGCTCAAAGGCATCAATTCTCCTTCTATCCTCCCTAGTCATTGTCCAACTCTCTGATGCATAACAAGTGATTGCAAAGACCACAGCCTGTATCAGATGCACCTTAGTCTCCAGAGAGACACCATTGCTCTTCAGTACTTTAGAGAGGTCCCTAATAGCAGACTTTCCCATCGCAATACGTTTTTTTGATTTCCTGGCTACTGGTGCTAAGAGTGTTGACTGTGAAGCCGAGCAAACGAAAGTTGTTAACAATCTCAATCTCTTCACCATCCATCCTGATGCCGCCAATTGGTCCAGTGGTGAAAATCTTTGTCTTCTTGACATTGAGCCTCAATCCATACCGAAGGCTGCAGTCCTTGACCCTCTGCAGCAAGTGCATCAGGTCCTCCTCAGTTTCAGCAAGGTGCAGGACAAAGGGAACAGCTTTACTCTTTAATATATGAGAGATCTTTCCCAGCACATTTGCCCAGTGCACTGTACCACTTGATTTCCTGAGGGCAGAGTAGTATTTCCCAAACCTGCCTTCTTGGAGACAGTGCTGGCTGGTGGGGAGAGAGGGAAGGCTGCTGCTGCCTCTCCTGATGGAGTCTGTGGACTTGCGGTTCCAGAGGCTCTTCTGACTCACTTGGTGGCATCATCGCTTGGAGCCTTCTCCCTCTCCTCCTCACCAGCTATATCTGCTCCTCCCAGAAGCTCCACACTGTCTTGCTTTTTCTCACCCTTTCTGCCCTGTGAGCATAGTGGAACCTGGCCTGCAGTAGCCCTGGTGGGGTCAGGGTGGCTTCACCAGTGTCACTGCAGCTGACTGGCCTTCGTGCCCTGGCCTCACCTGAGTCATTCCTGGTTTGACAGGTTGCTCGTGAGAATTGCTGTAAGGAAATGAGGACCCCCACCCCCAGCACACTGCCAGGTGGTGGTGTGCTGAGTCCTTCTGCAGAAGGGAACTTGCTGGATCTGCTCTCACCACAGCTCTCTCCAGGCCCTCTGTGAGTCTTCTGGACAAGGGGTACAGATTCTTACTGCTGCATACAGTTTGGTGTGAGGTCCCGGCTCATTGCACAAGGGCCAGGCAGAAAGGACTTCTCTGCAAGACAGCCAGAGCCCTTGCATGCTTGAGACACTTATTTCTTCCCATTGCAAGTACAGTATGCTGCTTCCCCTTTTCTGCTTTTAGTCTCCGTCCTGACTCCTTAGAGAATGAGTACTTCCCGGAACCTCTGAAAGAAGAAGAGTCAGAAATTCTGCTGTTGCCTTAGGTGTCAGTTGGTTTTCCTATTTCCAGATTCCAGACAACCAGTTGCTGTCACGGTGACTTTGAATGAGAGTGTAGAACTGCACAGTAGGCTTCCCAAGGCTGTAAATCTTTACAGAGCAGAGTGCAGCTGTCGGGCACACACTACAGACCTTTTGGTTAGCAGGCAAGCACTCAACTACTGTGCTGTCAGGGCTTCTCGCAAATATACTGTGTAGTGCAACCCGTGGAGTGATACAGAGTGTAGATGGGAGAAAGACGGACAGTCTCCTCCATGCAATTTACAGCCTCTGAAAACCCATGGCAAGGCTGGCTGTGTCACTTCCGACTGGAGGACAGTGAGGAAATGAGCGATATTCCTGAAGAACAATTCAAGAGAGAGCTCTGGTGGTGGAATCCCTGGGAGTGGTGCTGCTAATCCAAAGTTGGCACCTCTCATAGTTCAAATCCACCACTGACTCCAAGGGAGAAAGATGGACAGTGCCTCCTGGGTCATTTATAGCCTCGGAAACCCACCAGAGGGCCAGCTGTCAGTCCTGACCAAATGGCAATGAGTTTAGTAGTGAAGACTGTCGTCCAATGTGGCACTTTTTTGTCATATCACATCGTATCAGTGATAGCCTGGTGGCCTAGTGGCATGCAGCTGTGCTGCAGTCCCAAAAGCACATGGTTCAAGGCTGCGAACTGTTCCATGGGAGAAGGGTGGGCAGTCTCCTCCCATGCGATAAACTGCCTCTGAAAACCCACAGAAGGGTCAGCTGTGGGTCAATTCTGACTCTGTAGTACACAACAACCATAACAACACATTTTCATATCAGTTTATTTAAGTTTGCCTCATTCTTTTTAATCACAACATAATAACTCATTATATGGGCATATTTAATAATTTCCTTCTTGGAGTAGTTACTAGTTTCCAGAGTGGGAGCACTTGGAGGAATGTGTTCCTTGCACAGAGTCCTAACAGCAGAGGCGCCTCTGAGATGTGAACGTGAAGCCGTTTTCACGGACCCCGTCCCTCTGTGTTCAGAGAAGCCAGAGCCGCCTGCATTCGCCTGCGCATCTTGGTGATGCCCCTGACGCACTCGGGGGCTCGGATGGAAACAGACTTGTGCTGGGACATCATTGTGCTCTGCTCACAGGGCGTCACACACCGCTTTCTTTTCAACCATTGGACCGGGGCCTGGAATCGGTCTAATTTGGGTGGGGGTTTTGTCCTCTCTGGACCCTAGTTTTAGAAAAATGTTTTCTATTAGTATTCTATGTGGACAGCATCATGAAATGTGAAGTGGGCCAAGTCATTTCTATCTTTTACTTCCATCACTTAGACTGCGTGACACTAGAACATTAAAAGCTGTAATAGCGGTAGCTGAAGTTTATTAGGTTCTTATTAAATTACAGGCATTCTTAACAAGGAACAACCCTATGGGGTGGATCCTTCTATTACTGAGGCACAGAGAAATTAGGTTACTTGCTTGAATTTATTATACTTCTTTATACATATGTGTATGTTTGTGTATATGTATATATACATGTAGTCATCTCATTATTTCTCACTTAAGATGACTTTTTAAAGACCTAAAAATTGACAGTTATGGCAGTCCTCTCAAAACTCACTCAAACTCAGTGCCATCGAGTCAGAAACAACTCCTGGCTGACCCTCCACCGGTTTTCAGAGGCTGTGGATAGCATGGGAGGAGATCAAGCATCTTTCCTCAGGCGCAGCTGGTGGATTTGATGTGCTTGCCTTCGGATTGGCTGCACAGCTTGCTACCTGCTAGGCCACCAGGGTTCCCTGGGTTGAGCAGTTCTTCTAGTCCCATTTGTCCACCACCACATGCTCGCTTTGTTCATGGGCCATTTTTGTAATGCTCACACTATTACAGACTTTTTTGTAGTGCTGTTTCACACTTCATAGTGTAAGCATAACTTTTCTATGTACTGAGACACCAGATACATTTGTGTGGATTGTTTTATTGTGGTGGTTTGGGACCAGACTTATGTTGAGGTATTCTTATATATTTTTTTCCTTTTTTTCTTACCTTGTCTTGGAATCTTTTAGAATTTATATTTATCCTTGATATTTAATTTTTTTGTTTTGTTTTTTTTCTTTCAGGAATTATGCTCCCCAGAAAAGTATCCCCAAGGAAGTACCACTCAGTGCTTCCTCCCTGGGTTGGTCCTGGGAGACTGGCTCACCAGCTTCTTCATCTTCCCAGAATATACCTCTGGCTCAAGTATTTGTTCCTCTAGAGTCTGTTAAGCCTAGTAAGTACAGTTTCCACCCCCCACTATTCTTTGGGTTTTGTGGTATGGTTTTTTGTTTGTTTTTTTTTTTTAGTGTCTCTCCCTCCCTTCTTTGTGTTAACTCTGTAGCTTTACCCATTCTTGGTTGATAGTTATAGCCCTTCAACTTGGGAAGAGGAGTGGTGGAGATTGTATCGGGGGGAGGGTGTGTCAACTGATATTTTTATGCTTTAGCTAGTATTAGTCTTGAAATAATAGTTGGCACTGTGAAGGATGCTGATAGTCAAGATTTAATGAGACTTGAAGGTACTTGGGGACATGAAGCTAATTCATTTGGAATTCAGAGGAGGGCTCTTCATTGTACCTGGAAGTAACTGAGGAGGGACTTTTGAGGGAATGGAAGAGTTTGGGTGGTAATTGTGTGTTCAGAGGTCCTCATTAAAGCAGGGAAGGGGATTTTACGTCTGTTCTAAGAGTAAATGGGAAGAAGGGCCCTGCTAAGTTAGGCCACTGCTTATGGTCAGTGAACCATTAGAGCTGTGGAGGAGGAAGCAATGAGGGTCTTGGCCTCCAGGACCTGGGCTCTTTTCCCTGGAGCACAGAGCCCCGTTGTGGCTTGGTGCTGGGGCAGACTTAGTCAGGCCGAGGAAGCTTCACCCAGTGGCGCTGTGGAAGAAAGGCTTGGCAGTATCTGTAATATTAAACCAAGTCTGTTGCTGTTGGCGTAAATTCTGACTGACAGCAACCTTGCAGCCTAGAGTAAAATTAACACATAGCGTGTCCAAGGTCATGTTCTTTACAGAAGCAGACTCACTGCCACCTCTTTTCCTGCAGAGCAGCTGCTAAGTGACACACACACAAAATAATAAAATTTTTAAAAATATAGAAAATTCTTTGTTTAGAAATTACTATAGGGTTTTTTAAAATTTTTTTAATTTTTCATTTATTTTTTATTCTGTGTGTGTGTGTGTCTGTGTGTAGACCGTCGAGTCGGATCTGACTGGTACCGGAGGAGATTGCCCCTCCTTCTGCAGCGGAGCATCTGGTGGATTCTAACTGTGTGCCTTTGGGATGAAATGACTGTGTTTTTGTTGAAAATTTACACAGCTGTGTAGATTCCCATTTGACTCATGCTTAGAAAGTTTGAGGGTCAGGAGAGGAGAAGAAGACCCTTAATCAGATGATTGATACAGTGACTGGAACAACGGGTGTAAGCCCTGCGGAGGTGGTGGTGAAGCCACCGACTCAGACCAAGGCATCTTAGGGTTGCTGTGACCAACAATTGACGACATAGCACCGAACAACAACAACATGCAAATTGTTCAGGGACATTAGGTACGGTTTTCACAGTGGATGAACGTTGAATTGTATCTGGTGGTTTTGTTTCCAGTGCTCCGGGTTCCTGCCCCTTACCTTCCCATCTTTGTTTCGAGTAGTTGTTGACCTTTTGCTTAGGCCTAATTCTTAAAAATGGAATCACCAAGTATTGACATTTAAATTTTGGTCTGTGTTAACGAAGTTGCCTTCCAGAAAGATTGCCATTCCCTAATTATTTATTAGGACTGGCTATTCTCATCCTTCTAAATTGTTGACAGTTTGAAAAACATTTTTTATAGTTTGCATTTTGATTCTAAGTGATGTCTGGCCTAAGATAAAGATCTTCAGTTTTCCCTGCAGATTTTTAGCCAGCTGAGTACCATTTATTTAATCAGCCATCGATGCCAAAATACATGTTCATTCTAGTAAATTTGTTTATTTACCTGTTTCAACATGCTCTACTTTATACCACGTTGCTTGCATTAGTATAACATATATTAGCTGAATATTTATGAATCCAAATAGGCAAATTACGTAGCCTCACTTTATTTTCTCTCCTTTCTTAAAATGTTCTTGTTTAGTGTAAGGAGCTGCAACTACAATCCCAGAGGCACACGGTTTGAATCCACCAGATGCTCTGCCGGGAAAAGGAGGGACAATCTCCTCCTGTACCAGTCAGATCTGATTTGACGGTACACTCACACAAAAATTAAAAAAAATTTAAAAAAAAATGTTCTTGCTTATTGCAGGTGCCTTTTTCCTTTCAGATTAACTCTAGTATCACATCTTAGCTACATGAAAACAATCTTATTAAGATTTTCATTGGCATTTTATGAAGTTGATATTTCATGACATTAAAGGAGTTTGTTGTCTTTAGAGTTGTACAGAATTAAGTATGTAGTCATAAAAAAGAGATTAGGAAAAAACGGTCCACAAACTATCTGATAGTGTGTTGAAGAAGGTTGGATGGTGGGCAGAGGTCAACTTGGAAGACGACAGGAGGTTGGTTAGAAGTAATAAGGACTTGGTCTGTGGTGGGGACAGTGCTAGTTATGTTTTGAATGGAGAGACAAAAGGATTTGGTGCAGTTAAGCACATGTCCTTGAAGTTTGACGTTTGAGAGCTTGTAGTATGCTATCTTTGTGGTTGGGTCTCTCTACCAGGTAGCCGGCCTCCTGTAATCGTGTATGACCGGAATGGATTCCGAATTCTGCTCCACTTCTCTCAGACTGGGGTCCCTGGCCACCCAGAAGTCCAGGTGTTGCTGTTGACCATGATGAGCACTGCCACCCAGCCGGTGTGGGACATCATGTTTCAAGTAGCTGTGCCGAGG